ATGGACATGTCGTCCAAGGAGTGGGAGGGGGAGATGAAATGGTTCGTGACTGGGAGGTGCAGTTGTTTAGTGCGAACCGAGCGTAGGTGTTCCACAAAGCGGTCCCCAAGCCTCCGCTTGGTTTCCCCGATGTAGAGGACGCCACAACGGGAACAGTGGATCCAGTATACCACATTAACAGATGTGCAGGTGAACATCTGTTTGATGTGGAAGGTTTTCTTAGGGCCTGGGATGGGGGTGAGGGGGTAGGTGTAGGGGCAGGTGTAGCACTTCCTGCGGTTGCAGGGAAAAGTGCTGGGTATGGTGGGGCTGGAGGGGAGTGTGGAGCGGACAAGGGAGTCACGGAGAGAGTGGTCCCTCCGGAAAGCAGATAAGGGTGGGGAGGGAAAAATGTCTTTGGTAGTGGGGTCGGATTGCAGATGGCGGAAATGTCGGAGGATGATGCGTTGGATCCGGGTGGGGTGGTACGTGAGGACGAGGGGGATTCTGTTTTGGTTGTTATTGTGGGGAGGGGGTGTGAGGGCTGAAGTGTGGGAAACGCGAGAGATGCGGTCGGGGGTGTTCTCGACCACTGTGGAGGGGAAATTGCAGTCCTTGAAGAACGAGGATGTCCGGGAGTGGAATGCCTCATCTTGGGAGCAGATGCGGTGGAGGCGAAGGAATTGGGAATAGGGGATGGCATTCTTGCAGGAAGGTGGGTGAGAGGAGGTGTATTCTAGGTAGATGTGGGAGTCGGTGGGCTTGAAATGGATATCGGTTTCCAGGTGGTTACCAGAGATGGAGACAGAGATGTCCAGGAAGGAGAGGTATCAGAGATGGTCCAGGGGAACTTAAGGTTGGGGTGGAAGGTGTTGGTGAAGTGGACGAACTGTTCGAGCTCCTCGTGGGAGCACGAGGCGGCGCTGATACAGTCATCAATGTAACGGAGGAAGAGGTGGGGTTTAGGGCCAGTGTAGCTACGGAAGAGGGCTTGTCCCACATATCCTACAAAGAGGCAGGCATAGCTTGGGCCCAAGCGGGTACCCATGGCCACCCCCTTTTGTCTGTAGGAAGTGGGAGGAATTGAAGGAGAAGTTGTTAAGGGTGAGAATGAATTCGGGTAAGTGGATAAGGGTGTCGCTGGAGGGGGCTGGTTGGTCTGCGGGACAGGAAGAAGCGGAGGACCTTTAGGCCATCTGCATGGAGAATGCAGGTGTATAGGGACTGGACGTCCATGGTAAAGATGAGGTGTTGGGGACCGGGGAATCGGAAGTCTTGGAGGAGGTGGAGGGCATGGGTGGTGTCACGTGCATAGGTAGGTAGTTCCTGGACTGGGGGAGAAAGTAGATTCGAGATAAGTGGAGATAAGTTCGGTGGGGCAGGAGCAGGCAGAGACAATGGGTCAACCAGGGCAGTCAGGTTTATGGATTTTGGGAAGGAGATAGAAATGGGCTGTGCGGGATTGGAACGATGAGGTGGGGGGAAGGTCACCTGAAGTGGTGAGGTTGTGGATGGTTTGGGAGATGATGTTTTTGTGGTCGGGGTGGGATCATGATCAAGAGGGCGGTCAGAGAGTTGGCGCCTGGCCTCGGCGATGTAGAGGTCAGTGCGCCATACTACAACTGCGCCTCCCTTGTCCATGGGTTTGATGGTGAGATTGGGATTGGAGCGGAGGGCTGCACGTTCTGCGGGGGAGAGGTTGGAGTGGGTGAGAGGGGTGGAGAGGTTGAGGCGATTGATGTCTCGATGGCAGTTGGAGATGAAGAGGTCGAGGGAGGGTAGGAAGCCTTGGGGTGGTGTTCAGGAGGAGGGGGTGTGTTGGAGGCGGGAGAAGGGGTCAGTGGAGGGAGGGTTAGGCTCACGATAAAAGAGGTAAGCACGGAGGTGGAGGCGGCGGAAAAACTGTTCAATGATCAGGTGTGAGCAATATTCGTTGATGTTTGGGTGGAGGGTGATAAAGGTGAGCCCTTTACTGAGGACTGACTGTTCGCCCTCAGTGAGGGAGAGGTCTGGGGGATGGTGAAGACCCAGCAGGACTGGGGGCTGGTGTTAACTGTGGGGCTGCTGGCTGTGGAGGTGGTGGGCGGAGGGGCGAGGTGTCAGCGGTGGGCTTTATTTGGACACTTGCTGTATTTGGACACAGACTGCTTCAGTATCTGAGGAGTCATGACTGGTGCTTAATACTGTGAATATCACTTTACTGATGACCAAGAGTGGACTGATGGCGCAGAAATTGGCCGGGTTGGATTCCTCCTGTTTTTTTGTGTACAGGAAATTAAACAACTCACTGGAGGAGGCGGCTCCACAAATATCCCCATCCTCAATGACGGAAGAGCCCAGCACATCAGTGCAAAAGACAAGGCTGAAGCATTTGCAGCAATCTTCAGCCAGAAGTGCCGAGTGGACGATCCATCTCAGCCTCCTCCAGTGGCCCCCAGCATCACAGATACCAGTCTTCAGCCAATTCGATTCATTCCACGTGATATCAAGAAACAATTGGAGACACTGGATACTGCAAAGGCTACGGGCCCTGACAACATTCCGGCAATAGTACTGAAGCCCTGTTCTCCAGAACTTGCCGCTCCACTAGCCAAGCTGTTCCAGTACAGTTACAACACTGGTACCTACTGGGCAATGTGGAAAATTGTCTAGGTATGTCCTGTACACAAAAAACAGGACGAATCCAACCCGGCCAATTTCTGCTCCATCAGTCCACTCTTGGTCATCAGTGAAGTGATATTCACAGTATTAAGCACCAGTCATGGCTCCTCAGATACTGAAGCAGTCTGTGTCCAAATACAGCAAGACCTGGACAATATCCAGGCTTGGGCTGAGAAGTAGCAAGTAACATTTGTGCCTCACAAATGCCAGGCAATGACCATTTCCAATAAGATAAAATCTAACCATTGCCCCTTTGGATTCAATGACATTACTATCACGGAATCCCCACTATCAACAACTTGCAGATTACCATTGACCAGAAACTTAACTGGACTCGTCATATAAACACAGTGGCTACAAGAGCAAGTCAGAAGCTGGGAATCCTGCAGTCGGTAACTCACCTCCTGACTCCCCAAACCATGTCCACCATCTATGAGGCACAAGTCAGGAGTGTGATGGAATACTTTTTTTTTTCTGAAGAAGGGTCCAGGCCCGCAACGTCAACCTTCCTGCTCCTCTGATGCTGCTTGGCCTGCTGTGTTCATCCAGCTCTACACCTTGTTACCTCAGATTCTCCAGCATCTGCAGTTCCTACTATCTCTGTGATGGAATACTCCCCACTTGCCTGAATGAGTGCAGCCCCAACAACACTCAAGAAGCTTGACACCATCCAGGACAAAGCAGCCCACTTGATTGGCACTACATCCACAAGCATTCACTCCATCCACCACCGACGCTCAATAGCAGCAGTGTGTACTATCTACAAGATGCACTGCAGAAATTCACCAAAGATGCTCAGACAACACCTTCCAAACCTACGACCACTTCTATCTCAAAAGACAAGGGTAGCAGATACATGGGACCACCACCACCTTCAAGTTCCCTTCCAAGCCGCTCATCATCCTGACTTCGAAATATATTGCCATCCCTTCAGCGTCGCTGGGTCAAAATCCTAGAATTCCCTCTCAAGGGCATTGTGGGTCTACATACAGCAGATGGACTGCAGTCATTCAAGAAGGCAGTTCATGAGCACCTGCTCAAGGGTAATTAGGGGTGGACAATAAATGCTGGTCCAGCTGAGATACCCACAAAGCCATGAATCAATAAAATAAATATTTTTATGTTTCATGTACTAGCAAACACAGGTCTAAGTAGCCCAGAGTTCAGGAATCTCTCTCCATGCTGCTTTTCTATTGTTCTATCTAGATACCTTTGCTGATTCCTTATGCCCTTTTACCACAACTTGTCTCCGACCTATTTTGTGTCCTTAATAGTATTGTCACTATACCTTCCCTCCCTTCATCTAAATAAATAGTTGAAGCCTGACCCTAAGGCACTCAAATTGTTACATCTTGTCAACCCAAAGTGATCTATTTATCCCTATTCTCTTCTTCCCCTGTTTATTCAATCAGGGGATGTAGAAATCATTGGCTGGGCCTATATTTATTGTTCATTCATAATTGCCCAGAAGAAACTTCCCTCTAGAGCCACTGCAGTCCCTGGGGTGAAGGGACACCCACTGTGTTAACACCCTGTTAACTAAGCAATCCTCTGTCCATGTCTTATACCACAAGCTCTGTTTTTGTATAGTAACCTTTGAAGTGGCCCACTGTCCAATGCCTTCTGGAAATCTAAGTACATCACATCCACTAGCTCCCCTGTGTCTACATTGCTTGTTACTTCCTCAAAGAACTCTAACAAAACACTTGTTAACTTTGCCTGAATGCTTTGAGATCTTCTAAAGGCCTCGCTACTACCACCTTAATCATGGACTTAATTTTCCTGTAATTTCCCACAACAGATGTTAAATACACTGTCTTTTTCCTGTCTTTTGTCTGCTCCAGGCTTGAATTTACCAGTTACATTCACTATTTCCCCATCTGACAGGATCTTTCGGGGATCGGGCGAGTTTTGGAAATGTAAAACCAATGCGATGTTCTCAGTAGCTACTTCTTTTAAGACAGTGAGATGAAATCTGTCAGGACTCTGGGCTTTGTCAGCCATCAGTTCTAATAATTTGCTCAGTCCCCTTCCCCTGGCGATTATAATTGATTTTAATTTCCTCAGTTTCTTTCACCCCAGATTTACAATTTCAGGGTTTTATTTGTATGCATTACTATTTACTTCATTTATCATTTTCATACTTTCTAATATTCATTTCCCCAGACACTCTCTCCAGGGGACCAACACTGGTTACATTACTTTTACTGTAACTGCAGAAACTCTGGCTATCTGCTTTTAAATTTCTAGCAAGCTGTCTTGACACTAACATTTCTCCTTTTTAGTCACATTTTGCTGCTTTTTATATTCTACTTAATTTTCTCATTGTCACCAATCTTCACAGAATTTTACAACACAGCTTTCATTTTATACAAGCTTTAATCAGAGTCATAGTCATAGAGTCATACAGCACATACTGCACCTTCAGTCCAACCAGCCCAACCAGATTATGATGAATTAAATCCCAAACTAAACTAGTCCCACTTGCATGCTCCTGGTCCTTCCTGTAACTGGGCAACCAGAATGGCGGTTTCCTCCTCTGGAGTTCCTCCCTCACTAGAATAATTTTTATTCAAAAATTCAAAAAGTATTAAAAGGCAGGAGACCATCATGTTCACACTGACTCTCTGAATGAGCAATTCACTTCAAGCAATTCACAGTGATCTCAGTAATAGTACACACTGTTACCCCAGGAATCCTATACAGTGACGCCAGTGACCCTGCACAATTGATCCCGGTGACCCTGCAGAGATCTCAGTGACCCTGCACACTGTGATCCCAGTGATCCTGCACAGTGCGATCCCAGTGACTCTGCACAGTGTGATCCCGGTGATCCTGCACACAGTGAACCCAGTGACCCTGCACAATGTGATCCTGGTGACCCTGCACAACGTGATCCCAGTGACCCTGCACAACGTGATCCCGGTGACCCTGCACAACGTGATCCCGGTGACCCTGCACAACGTGATCCCGGTGACCGTGCACTCTGTGATCCTGGTGACCCTGCAGAGACCCTGGTGACCCTGCACAATGTGATCCCAGTGACCCTGCACATGGACAGTGATCCCGGTGACATGGACATGTGATCGAGTTTTTGTTAGAATTGGAAACAGTTAGAATGGAATTAGTTTTAGGAATATGCAGAAATGGCTGAAGAGAGGCAGTTGAGAAAGAGATGTTGCTGCTGTGAGGGTAAAGCAGAATGAGGCAAATAAAAATGATCTGAAAAGACCAAGATCAGAGTCACCGACTACTCTCTCACAAAATCAAAGGGTGGCACAGTGGCTCAGTGGTTAGCACTGCAGCCTCACAGTGCCAGGGACCCGGGGTCAATTCCACCCTCGGGCGACTATGGAGTTTGCACATTCTCCCTGTGTCTGCGTGGGTTTCCTCCGGGTGCTCCGGTTTCCTCCCACAGTCCAAAGATGTGCAGGTTAGGTGGATTGGCCATGCTAAGTTGCCTGTAGTGTTCAGGGATGTGTAGATTTAGGTGGGTTATAAGGGAATGTGTCTGGGTTGGATGCTCCAAGGATCAGTGTGGACTTGTTGGGCCAAAGGGCCTGTTCCCACACTGTAGGGATTCTATGATCTATGACCCTGGCTAGGATTAAACACAAAGGGACTCACTGGGGGGAACCCGCAAATCACAATGTATGTGTCTGTTTTATTTGAAATGCATTTGTTCATTTATATTATTATTAAATAATTTATAACACTTCAGGCTTTATTTTCATTTTCGATTTGCAACTGTGAACATGTGTTGCCCCTCTCTCGCTCCCTCGCAGCCATCTCTAACTCATGGTTCCTCCTCCTGTCAATCTCCTCCATCTCTTGGAGTTTCTGTAAGAGACAGGAGATGTAAAAGATTCCTCTCACTCAGTAAATGCCCAGTCACTCCCATGTGGAATATTGACACTTGCTGATGATGACTGAGCAGATTATAGCAAGACAGGCAGGTGACAGCGTGAATGTGGGGGCATAACTACAGTGATCACCTTGAGCCTGCCTGTGTACACTGCTTGTTCTCAGAAACATCAGCTCATGCCAGGATGGACAGGTTTGGAAAGAACTCTGAGGATGGTACAATCACTTCATTCCAGAAACCAGCAAATCTTTCACATGAGCCATTGGGAAAATGCAATAATGAGCTCTTGCTGTGCTGCAACTACTGCTGCAGTTCTGTCTTCGGGACTCTCTTTCTCAATCTCTCCCCTCACCTGAGGTATGGTGACCCTCAGGTTAAACTCACCACCAACTGTCTCTCTCTAATGTCAGAGTAGCTTTATGGTCCTTTGGGACTATGGTGACCTAGTTTCAGACTCAGCAATGCCTGTGTTCTGCCAGTGAGAACATCCAATTCATGCTCTCCCTTCAGAGGCTAGAAACCATTGGATCTTTTCCTGTCACCTCCTCCAATGATGTTTGTAGTTGAGACAAGCATTCTCACTATTTGTTTATCAGGAATGGACTCCTGCCTGGCATTACAACAGGGTCTGCCCTACACAATGGGGAGGTGATGGGATGGGGACAGTGATCCAACCCAGCCAGGTTTGCAGGGCAGAGACAGTTTCCCTTCAGAACCGGGATGGGGACAATCCAACAGCAGGTTTCCCTTCCAAGATTAATTCCGTTTACAGTGACTGTACCAGTATAGCTGCATTTACCAGGGAGATTTCACTTTGAATGATTGCCCGGAATTCCTTTCCTCGGCCAAAAGATTCCATCTGCTCTAGAAACTCTCGTCTTTCTTCAATCTCATTACACACTGGAACAGAAATGGAGTCAGACTTCAGAACAGTCACTCTGACCCCCCACAGCAAACTCCTGACTCCTCCCCCACAGGCCTCCTTCACAATGCCAATATCACCCTGCTCTCACCTCCACTAACAGCACCCTCCCTCAGGGACAGCACCCTCCCTCAGGGACAGCACCCTCTCTCAGAGACAGCACCCTCCCTCAGGGACAGCACCCTCCCTCAGGGACAGCACCCTCCCTCAGGGACAACACAGTCCCTCAGGGACAGCACTCTCCAATGGGGACAGCACCTTCCCATGGGGACAGCACCCTCCCTCAGAGACAGCACCCTCCCTCAGGGACATCACACTCCCATGGGGACAGAACCCTCCCTCAGGGACAGCACCCTCCCTCAGGGACAGCACCCTCCCTCAGGGACATCACACTCCCATGGGGACAGAACCCTCCCTCAGGGACAGCACCCTCTCTCAGAGACAGCACCCTCTCTCAGAGACAGCACCCTCCCTCAGGGACAGCACCCTCCAATGGAGACAGCACCCTCCCTCAGGGACAGCACCCTCCCTCGGGGACAGCACCCTCTCATGAGGTCAGCACCCTCTCTCAGGGACAGCACCCTATCTCAGGGACAGCACCCTCCCATGGGGACAGCACCCTCCCTCAGTGACAGCACCCTTCCATGGGGACAGCACCTTCCCTTGGGGACAGCACCTTCCCTTGGGGACAGCACTCTCCCATGGTGTATATGGATTTTAGCAAGGCATTTAATAAGGTTCCCCATGGTAGGCTCATTCAAAAAGTAAGGAGGCATGGGATTGAGGGAAATTTGGCTGTCTGGATACAGAATTGGCTGTCTAATAGAACGCAGAGGGTGGTAGTAGATGGAAAGTATTCAGTCTGGAGTTCGGCGTGGTGTTCCGCAGGGATCTGTTCCGGGACCTCTGCTCTTTGTGATCTTTATAAATGACTTGGATGAGGAAATGGAAGGGTGGGTTAGTAAGTTTGCCGATGACAAGAAGATTGGTGGAGTTTTGGACAGCGTGGAGGGCTGTTGTAAGTTGCAATGGAACATTGACAGGGTGCAGAGCTGGGCAAAGAAGTGGCAGATGGAATTCAACACAGAAAATTGTGAAGTGATTTATTTTGGAAGGTTGAATTTGAATGCAGAATACAGGGTTAATGACAGGATTCTCGGCAGTGTGGAGGAACAGAGGGATCTTGGGGTCCACGTCCATAGATCTCTCAAAGTTGCTACCCAAGTTGATAGGGTCGTAAAGAAGGCGGATGGTGTGTTGGCTTTCATTGGCAGGGGAATTGAGTTTAAGAGCCATGAGGTTATGCTGCAGCTCTATAAAACCTTGGTTAGACCACACTTGGAATATTGTGTTCAGTTCTGGTCACCTCATTAGAGAAAGGATGTGGAAGCTTTAGACAGGGTGCAGAGGAGATTTACCAGAATGCTGCCTGGACCGGAGGGCAGGTCTTATGAGGAAAGGTTAAGGGAGCTAGGGATTTTCTCATTGGAGCGAAAAAGGACAAAAGGTGACTTGATAGAGGTGTACAAGATGATGAGAGGCATAAATAGAGTGGATAGCCAGAGACTTTTTCCCAGGGTGGAAATGACCATTACAAGGGGCCATAATTTTAAGATGATTGAAAGAAGGTACAGGGGAGATGTCAGAGGCAGATTCTTTACACAGAAAGTGGTGCGTGCGTGGAATGCACTGCTGGCGGTGGTCAGTGGAGTCAGATACATTATGGACATTTAAGCAACTCTTGGATAGACACATGGATAATAGTAAAATGTCGGGTATGCAGGGTAGCTTGATCTTAGAGTAGGATAATAGGTTGACACAACATCATGGGCTGAAGGGCCTGTACTGTGCTGTACTGTTCTATGTTCTCCCATGGGGACAGCACCCTCTCTTAGTGATAGCACCCTCCCATGGGGACCACACCCTCCCTTGGGGATAGCACCCTCCCTTGGGGACAGCACCCTCCCTTGGGGACAGCACCCTCCCTTGGGGACAGCACCCTCCCTCAGCTCAGCACCTTTCCTCAGGCAGAGCATCCTCCCACCACGACAGCACAGTCCCTCACTGACAGCACCCTCCATCAGGGACACACTCACTGACTCCGTCACCAGCAACAACCTCCTTTACTCACTGCCGCAGTGACCTTCCCTGACATCTGCACACATCCACACTGACACCCAGCCCAACACCCCACAACACTGAAGGTGAATCCAAGAATTAACCACTGACACATCCACATTGAGGATCTATTTAAGTAACACTTACATTCTTCAAACCGATCAATTTCTGGAGCCTCTTCTTCGTCCTTCTTGGGTTTTGGTTTGAGATTGGGCTCAGGACCATCTTTCCCAGTCGCCATGAGATTCTGCAAACGTTGCTTTTCTTTTTCCAGGTTTCCTGAAGGAAAACAATGAGGCAGCACCAGAGAGATGAGTGAGTAGCCAGTCTGGAACCAGTAGCACAGTGAATAGGAGAGAGGGAGAGACAGAGTCTGAGTGAAGTGATGGATTGTGAGCCAGAGAAGGAAAACGGGTCAGGAGAGGAAGGGAAGGAGGCAAATAGAAAGAAATGTGTGAGTGAAAGGTACAAGAAAGGGATCTTAATTCAAGGAGGGAGCAAATAGACAGCAGGAGATAAAGGGAAGAGAATAAGAAGAGAAGCAAAGGTAGCAAGGAAGAAGAAGGTGGATATAAAATAAGGAAAGGCAGAAAGGAGGAATGGAGGTAAAGAAGAGAGAAGGTTGAGTAAATGGAGAAGAGGGTGGGGATGGGAAGGAGAGAGACAGAAGGCGAAAAGAGGAAGCAAATGCAGTGGGTGGAAGAGTGAAGAGAGAGAAGGATGGAGAGGTGGTGGATGGTGAAAGTGGGATATGCAGAGAGAGGGAAGTGGAATGGCAAACGAGAAGAAAGAGTAACAGAGGGACAGAGAGAGATGGAGAGGGAAAGGGAGGGCCAGGCTTTCATGGAAGAATAGGGACAAGAGAGGAATGAGAGAACAAAGAATAACTTGCAAGACAAAGGAGTGCAAAGAGTTAGAGAGAGCAGATTGTCACTGCAATAACTAGGTTAAAGGTAGCAATATGAGGGACTGACCATTTTGATGGGAAGAGCCATTTGTGTATAGAACTGGCTCAAAGGTAGAAGACAGAGGGTCGTGGTGGAGGGTTGCTTTTCAGACTGGAGACCTGTGACCAGTGGTGTGACACAAGGATCGCTGTTGGGTCCATTGCTTTTTGTCATTTTGTATAAATGATTTGGATGTGAACATAGGAGGTATGGTTAGTAAGTTTGCAGATGACACCAGGACAGTGAAAAAGATTACTCAGAGTACAATGGGATCTTGATCAGATGGGCCAATGGGCCAGGGAGTGGCAGATGGAATTTAATTTAGATAAATGTGATCTGCTGCATTTTTGAAAGGCAAATCAGGCCAGGACATATGCAATTAATGGTAAGGTCCTGGGGAGTGTTGCTGAACAAAGAGACCTTGGAGTGCAGGTTCATAGTTCCTTTGAAAGTGGAGTCCCAGGATAGGATAATGAAGAAGGCATTTGGTAGGCTTGCTTTCATTGGACAGTGCACTGTGTATAGGAGTTGGGAGGTCATGTTGCGGCTGTACAGGACATTGATTAGGCCACTTTTGGAACACTGCATGCAATTCTGGTCTCCCTGCTATAGGAAGGATGTTGTGAAACTTGAGAGGGTTCAGAAAAGATTTACCGGGATGTTGCCAGGGTTCGAGGGTTTGAGCTATAGGGAGAAGTTGAATAGGCTGGGGCTATTTTTCTTGGAGTGTTGGAGGCTGAGGGGTGACCTTTTAGAGGTTAATAAAATCATGAGGGGCATGGATAGGGTAAATAGACAAGGTCTTTTCCCTGGGGTGAAAGGAGCCCAAAACTAGAAGGAATAGGTTTAAGGTGAGAGGACAAAGATTTAAAAGGGACTTAAGGGTCCTTTTTCACGCAGAGGGTGGCGCGTGTATGTAATGAGCTGCCAGAGGAAGTAGTTGAGGCTAGTACAATTACAACATTTAAAAGGCATCTGGAATGGTATATGAATAGGGAAAGTTTAGAGGGATATGGGCCAAATGCTGGCAAATGGGACTAGATTAATTTAGGATATCTGGTTTGCATGGATGAGTTGGATCAAAGGGTCTGTTTCCATGCTGTACAGCTCCATGACTCTAATAGAAAAGCAGATTATCTAAATAGACAGGTGCAGTAAGTGATTAAAGCCTATTTTGCAAGGAAAATGGAGTCTAAATGTAGGGAAACATTGTCAAAACTGTACATGGCATTGGCGAGGCCGCACCTGAAGTTCAATGTGCAGGTGTGGTCTCCTGATTTAAGGAGGGATAAAGTTGGATTGGAAGCAGCTCAGAGCAGCTTCACTGGATATCAAAGTCTCTCACCCAGAATACATTCTGTGCTCTGTCACCTCAGTGTTTCTTTGAATTGGTGTTCAAAAGGGGAGTGGTGGGGAGGGCTGGTTCATCAGCTGAGAGAGTACAGTAGGTGGTCATCAGCAAGAAGGTTTCTCTTCTATGTCTGACCTGAAGGCTTTATTGGATCTAGGGTCAATCACACAATCAGAACCATACAGCCCGGGGGCTGCTTGTTATGTTGAGGAGTCTCAGGGTCATTCCTTCCTGGCTGTTTCCCACTGTCAGCAGGGTAGGGCGTACAAAACCCTGGTGACGAGGGAGTTGGGGACACTGGCTGGAAGGTTTGTGAGAGTGACTATGTCATGTTGTTGTTTGACTACTTAATGGGACATCTCTCTGTCTTGGAAGAATCCCAAGTTATCAGTGAGAACAACATTGTGGGGTCAAATATGTGCACAGTTCTGGAAAGAGAATATTCAGAAAAGATGCTTCAATCATCATCCTGAGCAGGATGGAGGGGTGAAGCCCAGTAGGCATGAGGCTGGGAGATTGAGAGCTTGGGACGTGAGATGGGGTGAAGTCGGAAGTGTTGTAAAACAGGCTGCATCATCAACCTTGGGGGCAAATTCAGTAGCTGGGCATTTCAACAGTGTATCCACTCAAAAAGCACTTCAGCAGGAGGTAGGGTGTGTTGGCAATGTCACTGGACTCATAATGCAGAGGACCAGGGAAATGCTCTGAGGACATGGTTCCAACCCAGCTTAGTAGCTGGTGGACTTTAAATTCAATAGGTAATTAATCTAGAATTCGGGTCTAGTTTCTAACTGGCCTACATATGACTTCAAACCCACAGCAATCTGATTAGCTCCCAACTGCCCTCTGAAATGGCCATAACAAATCCTGAAATAATAAACAGAAAAAGATTGGTAATTGTAGGAAGTGCTATATAGATGCAAGTCTTTCTTTATTCTTTTGATGATTGGGCAAAAGTATCAAATTGAGGCCTGGCCACCAGGCAAGTATGCTGAGCCCTTCAGTAAAGACCATGAAACAACACTAAAAAAAAATTCAGTGGATAAACATAAAGTCATTATTTTGCATAATCAATGATTTAATGTACATTTTAATTCAAGTCATTCCAAGCAGTTTCTTGCTGAAATCTGTCTCTCTGAGGGGTCTATCTAATCATTAATCCAGTGATGAGACTAACTATGTGACAGATGAGAAAGTGCTGTGAAGTTTAGTACACTGCATACATCTGAACACCTACTTGTTGGTCGTGGCCGAAACCTTTCTCGTACGTATGCATCTCCAGCACGACAGCTCTCTGCAGGTCTCAGGTGTGGCTTGGAGGAGGGATGCAGTCGAACAGAAGGGGCTGTTGGCAGCGGAGGGGCTGCTGATACCTTGCTGGAGCTGGGATGGCAGCTCACAGGAAATGTATCGCCCTCTATAATGAGATAACAAAATAACAAACAAGGACCAGACTTAAACATCCAACAAATATTAGACTGGTTTCACAAAGCGAAGGCCAGATACTCCACTCGGAGATAGTAAGAACTGCTGGAGTCAGAGATAACACAGTGTGGAGCCGGAGGAACACAGCAGGCCAGGCAGCATCAGGAAAGCTGACATTTCAGGTGGGGAGGCCAGATGGTCCATTCTGTCTGAACTGGCTCTTTGCTAGAGCTTTCTAATTAGTTGCATTCCCCAGCCAATTCCCCACTGCTCTGAAATTCTCTCCCCCCGTTCCCTAAAACAAATTCTGTTCATTTCTTGCTTTATCAACAATGTTAATCTGTGCTCTCTGGTTTTGCTACTGGACACGGTTTATTCTTAACTGCTTAATCAAAACCCTTCATGAGTTTGAACAGCTCTATCAAATCTCGTCTTAACCAGCTCAGTTCTAAGGAGGATAATTCCAGCTTCTTCACATTAACTGAATTCCCTCATCCCTGGTTTACTTTTTCAGTAGATCTTCTCTGGACTCTTTCCAAGACATTCACATTGAAGTGTGGTCCAAAGAATTTGATGCATTCCTCCAGCAAGGGTTCAGCCTGTCAATAGGATGGCTCACTCTTGCTTTTGTACTCATGGTTTCTCTATATAAAGCCATGGAGATTTTTTTCCTGAAAAAACAACCTTATCAACTTGTCATACCAATTTAAAGATTTCTTTATGTAACCAATCCCCCAAGTCCAGTTCCTGCATCTTCATTATAATTACACATTTTAGTTCAAGGATTTTCAACAAGAGATCTGCAGCCAATGGAATCTGTCAAGAATAATCACAGAAATTGTTTCTTCCCAGCTATGGGAGGTGTCTTTGTATAAAACTTACCAAACCACTGGATTGCCCGTGGTGATCATCCCCAAGCTCAGTTATCCTCAGCAAAGCTGCTCCCATTAGGGCGTCATGTTGGCTCAGTGGTTAGCACTGCTACCTCACAACACCAGGGACCTGGGTTCAATTCTACTCCCAGATGACTGTGTGGAGTTTGCACATTCTTCCTATGTCTGCGTGGGTTTCCTCTCACAGTCCAAAGGTGTGCAGATTAGGTGGATTGGCCATGCTAAATTGCCCGGGCTAGGTGGATTATCCGTGGGAAATGCAGGATAGGGGGCTGCAGATCTGTGTGGACTTGGTGGGCTGCATGGCCTGGAGGGATTCTATGATTCATTGCTTTTTGAATCTCAAACCTCCCTCCTATCCTCCTCCCATGTTGGGCATGTTGTTTCCAATAAGCCATTACAACCCATCCAGTTTTCCACTGAAGGCATTTTTCACTATTCATAAATGTTTGGAGAGTTTTCGTAGAATCATAGAATCTCTACAGTGTGGAAACAGGTCCTTCAGCACAACACCTCCACACTAACTCTCACAGCATCCCACCCAGACCCACCCCACTATAACCCACCTAAATATATACATCCCTGAACACTACGGCAAGTTAGCATGGCCAATCCACCTCGCCTACACATCTTTGGACTGCAGGAGGAAACCTACGCAGACACGGGGAGAATGTGCAAACTCCACACAGACAGTTGTCCGAGCATGGAATCGAACCCGGGCCCCTGGCACTGTGAGGCAGCAGTGCTAACCACTGAGCCACCGTGCCACCCTTTTCTGAAGAAAGATCGGGCTATTGGCTGCTAAAAAAGCCCACATGTGAAAGTAGAGCGAGTTGCAAAAGGGTAAAGTATACCAAAGCAGGAAATAGTGACGAGGTGAACAGATAAAGTGTAGTACTCAGTAGAAAAGTCACCTGAAGAAGAGCATGTCAAGTGTTACAGAAGAAAGCAAGGATTGAAATTGGAAGCTGTGGCCAGTCACCAGTCCTCCTTCAATATTAGATTGGTGGCTGAGGATTTTGGAAGGGCTGGGTACAGAGCGATTGCAAGTGTTAAAACCCCTGTTCAAAAAAAAAGAGGAATAAACCAGGCAACTCCAGCCCAGTCAGTCTAACATTGGGAGGATACATGAGATAATATTTATGACCATTTGGATAATTATGGGCTAATGAATAAAACTGGCTATGACTAGTTAAGGGCAAATTGTATTTCACTGGCTTGTTTGAGTTCTTTAACCTAATGGAGAGAATGGATGACAGCACAGCAGCTGGTATTGTTTACAGAATTTCAAAAGCACTTGACACAGCACCAAATAGACTTGTTAGCAAAATGGAAGCCCTTGAAATGAAAAGGTAATGACTGGCCAAGTCAGACAGAAGTTTGAAAGTTGTTTCTCAGGCTAGATACCATACCTGGGGACCTGGGTTTGAATCCTGCTGCAGCAGATGGTGGAATTTGAATTCAATTTTTAAAAAAATCTCGAATTAAGAATCTAATGATGACCATGAATCTATTGTTGATTGTTGGAAAAACCCATCTGGTTCACTAATGTCCTTTAGGGAAGGAAACTCCATCCTCACCTGGTCTGGCTCCAGATCCACAGCAATGTGGTTGACTGCCCTCTGGACAATTAGGGATGGGCAATAAATGCTGCCTGGTCAGGGATGCCCTCATCCCGTTTACAAATTAAAAGAAAACACCCGCTGCCTTCTCCCCAGCAAACTCCTCCCCAAATTGTCCATTCAGAGTCTGCACTGCTTTTCTTTCTAATGACCTGGATGAGGGGACACAGTAAATAATGTCAAAATTTACCGAATAGATGAAACTCAGTAAAACAGTAAACAGGAGCCGGTTTCATGAACATGTGAAGAGATTGAGAAATGGGCAGACACATGGTAGAGAAATGTGAAATGATATGTTACCTTAGGAAAAATGAACAGAGGCAACATAAATTAAATGGGACAATGTTAATGAGGATGCAGGAACAGAGACACCTGGGAGAAAATGTAGACAAACAAGTTAAGCTGAAAGCAGAACTTGAGGAGGCACATGGCAACATTCCAGGTGTGGAGTATGAAAAGCAAGGAAGTTTAAACCTTTATAAATATAGGTTAGGCCTCTGTATTGTGTCTAGTTCTGGGCACTAGAGAGTGTGGGGTCCTGTCACATCTAGTTGTGATGGTGGTGGATAATAAAGCAACTGACAGGAAGAGCAGGCATCAAGACAGCACCTTCCAGACCTGGGACTTCCATCCAGAAGGACAACAGCATCGGATACATGGAAACACCACCACCTACAAGTTCCCCTCCAAGCCACTCACCATCCTGACTTGGAAATATATCCCTGTTCCTTTATTGTCAATAGGTCAAAATCCTGGAACTCCTCCCTAACAGCATTATGCATCTATCCACAGCACGTAGACTGCAGCGGTTCAAGAAGGCAACTCACTACACTTTTTCACGACCAACCAGGGAAGGGCAATAAATGCTGGCCCAACCAATAATATCCACATCCTATGCATAAATGGTTAAAAACAAAATGAAGCCCCCAGCCACCCCGTTCCAAATGCTGGCAGAGACCAGCACATCAGTGCAAAACGCAAAGTAGTTACATCATCAACCAGAAGCATTCAGTGGTTCATTCTATTTGACCTCCTTCTAATGTCCCAACATCACAGATGACAGACTCAACCAACTTGATTCAAGAAATGGCAGAGCTTACTGGATATGGCAAAGTCTAAGGCTTCAAACAAGATTAATGCTTCTGTTCCAGTACAGATACAACATTAGCACCTACTCAGGTAGGCCTATCCACAAAAAGCAAGAAAACGTTGCCCAATTTATTGACCTTGATCATTAGGGGTCAGTGATAGTGCTATCAAGTGGAATTTGCTCATCAACAAGTATCTGGAGGAACACTTAAAAGATCTACACTTTCCCCATCAAACACATTCAGGACAGGCACAACACGGGGTTAGATGCAGAGTAAAACTCCATCTACTCTTTTAAACTGAGCATAGATCTTATCTATACTTTTAAACTAGAAGTAAATGGAAAGTAAAGCTGTCTCTACTTAAAGCTCTCTAACACTGTTCCCAGCAAACACTCCCAAGGACAGGGACAGCACAGTGTTGGATACAGAGTAAAGCTCTTTCTACTCTTTTAAACTGAAAATAAAACTTGCTCTACTCTTATAACAAGGTGTAGAGCTGGATGAACACAGCAGGCCAAGCAGCATCAGAGGAGCAGGAAAGCTGACATTTCGGGTCGAGACCCTTCAGTTCCTACTATCTCTTGCTCTACTCTTAAACTGAAAGTAAAGGTCACTCTACAATTATAAACTTAAACTAAATGGAAAGTAAAGTTTCCTTGATGCAATTCCCAATAAACGGTTCCAGGACAGAGACAGCATGGGGTTAAATATAGAGTAAAGCTCCCTCTACTCTAGTAGACTAAAAGTAAAGCTCTCTCTCCTCTTTTAACACTGAAAGGAAATGGAAAATAAAATACCCTTGACACCGACCCCATCAAACACTCCCGGGATAGGGACAGCGTAAGGTTCCATACCGAATAAAGTTTTCTCAACTCTTTCATGAAAAGCTCCCTCAACTCTTTCCTGAAAGCAGGAAGTTGAAAATAATAACAATGAAAAGATCCTGCTGGGGCACTGTATCGAGATCAAACACAAATAAACAGTTGAACAGAAACTTTTTGAATGAAACAGAAACTTACTAAATTAAACTAACATTGTCTGGGCTGATGATGCACCCTGCCCCTGTGGTGTCCACCAATCTCAAAAGGCCTTGACCCTGTGGTGAGCACCGAGTGCTCCCTCTCAGGGACACCCGAGCACGGATGTAACTGTGAAAGTGGGGCAGACAGTCAGGAACGACGAGCTCCTCCGTGGCCCGCTGCCTGGATCTGGTGAGGCCACCTTGGCCAGGCCCAGGTGCAGAACTACAAGAAGGTCCTGAGACTTGTTCATCCCTCCCCACACCGGGTGCCTGTAGATCAGGTACATATGGCTGAAGTGCAACCAAACCTTAAGCAGCAGCCCCTTCAAAAAACTAAAATAGGGCTTCAAATGGACACATTCAAC